GGAGCCCGGACCGGGACGAGCGCCTCCTCCTCGGCCCCCCCTCGACTCTTCCCCGGGCCGGAGGGCAGAGCTAGGACATGGCCCGAGGTGGCCTGGGGGGGGGCGGACAAGAGCCCGAAATGTCCCGCTCTCGGGGTAGCCCGGGGTGGGGGGGAGGCGCTCGGGGCCTGAGGAGAAGCCCAGCCGACGGGGAAGATGGAGGAGGTTGCCTCGGCCGAGAGGGCGGGGACCCTCTCCTCCTCCCGCAGGGTCACCTTGGCCAGGCCCCCCGCGGCCCCGGGCAGCGGGATGGCGGCCGGAATGCTTCTCCTCCAGGCCCTGATTTCCTCGCCCAGCCCAGGTGCATGATCACGCGGGAGGAGGCCTCTCCCGATTCCGGGCGTGCCATCCGTTCAAGATCGGGCTCGGCCCTTCGCCCCCCTGCAACGCCGGGCTAATCCCAGCCTTGCCCTTGGTCTCAGTTTCCATTAAAATGGAATAAGCATGAGACCTGGCTTGGTGTAACCTGAGCTTCCACTGTCTTGGTGTCAGCAGCTGGGACCACCAGCCCCCGCCCCCCAAAACTGAGCACCACGGGGGTCCTCGATTTCGCCTGGACCCTCCGCGCCCAGCGCTTGCTCGAGGTTAGTAAGTGCAACGAATGAACACACGCGAAAGAGAAAGCCCACACCCAGGGGCCGAGCTGTATTCTCCCTCCTCGTGCTGAACCTCAGATTTGCGTTCTTTGGTGTTTTGTTTGGGCTAATCCTCAGCCCCCGCCCAATGTCTTCTTGCTGCTCTGCTGTCTGGCTCTGCTGTCTGGTGGCAAATCGTGGCTCAAAACCAGCTCTCTTGCTGCTGGTCAACTCCTTTCCAGGTAGCCTTGAGAAGCCTAGAAGAAAAGGCACTTTAGAGTCAGCATTCCTTATAGGTGAACTGTCGGATTCCGGTTAAAATTTCCTCTTCGTTCTTGTAATTAATGTTATGCCGCCAGAGCCTGAAGCACGTGGGTCTTGGTTACACGGCATCCCCAGTACGGGCACAGCGCTTGGCATATGCATCTGACCTGGCGTCCAGGTCGCCACATAATAGGTGTTCATGATATGATGAACGCATAAGACACGTAGTAGGTACACTTATGATCTGTTGGTTGATACGGGAAAGAAATTGAAGAAGTTTATCTGGAGCAAAGGTCTTTTGGGGGCTATTTGGCGGTGACCTCCCAACGCCGGTTTTCTGAGTGTGAATAATGTGGAGTGTGGCTGGGTTAAACATTAGTCGGCAGATGGGTCCAGGGCGAGTGGGGGCGCAGCTTCGGGACCTAAAACTGCCAGGAGGAGGCTGTTAAGGGCCGACTCTGGGTCAGCCGAGTAGACTGGCGTCGGAAGGAGTGGAGGCTGAAGGTCAGAGAGCGCCCCCTCCTGGCGTTGGGAATCGCTTCGATTCAGCCCTGCAGCAGATACGCTCAGCCTAAAGAGCTGCAGCAGGGGAGAATCCAAGTGCATTCGTGAAAAGGTACCTAGGTGACTGGCTAGTTTAAATCTGTTAGCAAAAATACTAACCGAGGGACTGAGGGTGTAGTTCAGTGGTAGAGCACATGCTGAGCATGTGGTTCAATGCCCAGCGCCAGGAAAAAGCTTGCAGGATGACGGGCATTATGTAGTGGTGAACACAAAGGGCCAACACGCGGCGGGTGTAGCTCAGCGGCACAGCACCTGCCTAGCAAGCGAGAGGTCCTGAGTTCGATCCCTGGTACAAAAAAATAAACAAAAACACAAAAGCGCCAACAACCCCAGCTGAGGGAAACTTTTCTATAAGAAACTGAAACTTGGGCTGGGGATTTAGTTCAGTGGCGCCGCGCCTGCCTCTCAAGCTGAAGGTCCTGAGTTCGATCCCCCGTACAAAAAAAGAAAGAAACTGAAAAACTGAAACCTGAGCCAGGAATAGTGCCACACACTTGTAATCCCAGACGAGGCAGGAAGATCATGAGTTCGAGGCCAGCCTGGGTTACATAGGAAGTCTCAGGACAGGCATGGACTACTAAGAGAGACCCTGTCTCAAAAAAAAAAAAAAAAAAAAGAATCCCTGGAGGGCCATTCTCGGAGTTCATTTTTTCAGCATGTTGCTCCAAGAAGAACTCTAGGATCCTCACTACCTCTGGATCCTGCATTGCACAGTGAATGGTAGTGCCTTCATTTCTGAGGTAGTTGTAAAGATTGAGGTTGGCAATCACTTCTAGATGTCAAGTCCAGCCCAAGACCCAGTTTATGTTCCTTTAGCCTCCAGAAAACCCCTAAATTTGGCTGCTCGGCTCCCACAAAACTAACAAGAGTGATGAGAAAAACTCTGTAATGTGTGGAGCTGACCCAACCAGAAACCCCCAACCCTCAGCCAGACCAGTTCTTCTACCAGACATTTTTTTTCTTGCAGTACTGGGGATTAAACCCAGGCCCCTCAAACTGAGTTACAGCCCTAGTTCCCCTCACCACCTTTCTTTTTTTTTTGAGACAAAGTCTCATTATGTAGCCCAGACTGGCCTCCAACTTGATGTGATCATCCTGCCTCAGCCTCCCAAGTGCTGGGATTACAGGCATGCGCCATCACCCCACCCCCTTTTTGAAAGGGCAGACTGGTGATTAAACTTCACACTGAGCTACGTCCCCATCCCTTCTTAAATTTTTATTGATTGAGACAGGGTTTCAGTATGTGGTTCAGGCTGGTCTTGAACTTACTATGTAGCCCAGGCTGGCTTCAAACTCACAGTGATCCTCTTGCCTCAGCCTTCCAGAGTGTTGAGATTACAATTATATGCCACCACACCAGGCTGTTACTAGACATTTTCATTATATTCCCAATAACCTTGGGTCCTTTTATTATTCCCATTCCACAGAGGTGGAAACTGAGGCACAAAGGAATTAACATAAGGTTTTACAAACTAGAAGAGCTGGGCATGGTGGCACACACCTGTAATCCTAGCACTCGGAAGACTGAGACAGGAGGCTTGCCATGAGTTTGAAGCCAGCCTAGACTACATAGTGAGTTCAGGACCATCCTGTACTACGTAGCGAAACCTTATCTCAACCAAAAAGCAAACCAAAACAAACTAGAAGAGGTATACTCCAGATTGTAATCTCAGAGGACTGATTCCAAAGTGTATACTCAAACTCACTGTTTCTCTGGGGTACCAGATAACTGGCAAAGTGGGGAACACCAAAGAGGGTTAGGCTCTGAGCTGTTTTCTTGGGGTTCTTCGTAGTGAAAGGTGAGCAAGGAAGAATGCCTTCCCTCCCTACCTTCTCCCTGGGGTTCTTCTCTCCAAGAGTCTTTTGAGCTCTCATCACTCCTATGTCCTAAAACTAAGAAGTCTTGGGAACATGGTTTCCAGTACTAGACTGTGAGTTCTCCAAAGAGTAGGACTCAGGAAGGAGTTGGGGATGTAGCTCAGTGGTACAGCACTTGCCTAGCAAGTGTGAAGTCCTGGACTCAGCACCAAAAAAGTCCAAAAAGCGTACTCAGAGATATTGGCTGCTCTGTCACTCACCCTGCAGGGTCCTGCACAGAGCCTAGCATACAATAAATGCTTCCTACATATTGCTGACATATTTGGAGGCTGAATTTGGTACCCTAATCTTTCACCGAAAAACACTGAACATGTCCTGTTTCCATTCATTCAAGAAATGCAAATTAAACCTTAGTGTTCAACATTTATTGAAGGCCTACTGTGTGTGTGATTTTTGTTTGTTTTTGGTTTGTTGTTGTTGTTTTTTGGGGGGTTTTTTTGGTACCGGGGATCAAACTCAGGACCTTGGGCTTGCAAGGCAGGCACAGTGCCACTGAGCTAAACCCCCAGCCCTGTTTGTTTTTGTTTTTTTGAGATAGGATCTCACTATGTAGTCTGGCCTTGAACTCCCTATGTAGTGTATTTTTTTTTTTTTTTTGGTACTGGGGATTGAACTTGGGACCTTGCGCTTGTGAGGCAGGTGCCAGAACCGCTGAGCTAAATCCCCGGCCCTTGAACTCCCTATGTAGCTCAGGCTGAACTTGATTTTATTGTCTTCCTGCCTCAGCCTCCTTATTGCTGGCCATGAACCACTACATCTGGCTCCACTCATGCCTTTAAAGAGACTTCTAGGTTTAGTGGGGCCCCTTCACTTGTCAGTACCTACACTTGATCTTAGCCAAAAAGCCAAGAAGCGATTACTTGTCAGTACTTAGAGGGGGTGCCATTCACTCATCACACGTATGTGCACTGCCAGGTGGACATCTGGACAATATAGCAGCTTAGTAAATGGCTTTACATTAACACACACTGTATTAAGGCCAGCAGGAAATCAGAGGTTTTGAGGCAATTCTTATCATTTTGGAACCTGAGCAGAGTGTGAAAGATATGACACCATAAAGAAATGAACCTTAGTTAGGGGCCGGAGATTTAGCTCTCAGTGGTGCCACTGCCTGCCTCACAAGCACAGGGTCCTGAGTTCGATCCCCAGTACCAAAGGAAAAAAAAGAATGAAGAAATGACCCGTAGGCCTATGTTGCAGACATAGGAGAGATGGTAGGAACCAGAATGGATAACCAGTGGCAAGTCTTGACATTTGACCTTTGACCTTGATGAGGTGCTTTGACCTTTCTGAGCCTTAATTTAATCTCCCTGTAAAATGAAGGTCTTCATGGCGCCTATCATGGGGACTATGTGAGGCTTTGCACAAAGTACATAGAATAGACTTTCACCACCAGCCAGGTGCAATGGGTATGCATATAATCCCAGCACTTGGGAAGCTGAGCAGGAGAATCAAAAGTTCAAGACTAACCTGGGCAATTTAGCAAGTCTCTGTCCCAAAATGAAATTTTAAAAAGGGCTAGGGATGTAGCTCAGTGCTCCCTTAGTTCAATCCCCAGTAAGGGAAGCAGAAGAAAAGGCTTTCACCAGCCTTTTCCTGATATGGATAAAGAGGCAAATAACAGTGGACCCTTGACTTACAAACTCGATAGGTTCCCAGGTGATGGTTGTAACTCAAGTTGGTTGTAAGTCAATACAGCTGAGATCTGGTTGTTTACCTGGGTACATGCTATAGATAACAAGAGGCAGATGAATCTTCCATTAACCTAAAGAACCCAAGTTGTTCATATGTCAGGTCAGTTGTAACTTGAGGGTCTACTGTAGTAGCTATTATTATTATTAATAAAGCTGCAATTCAAGGTGAGCAGGGCCTAGGTGCAAGGAAGGGATGGAGACACAAGAGGTCAGGATGAAGCTGGGCATGGTGGCACACCTGTAATCCAAGCATTCCGGAGGCTGAGGCAGGAGGATAGCCCCGAGTTCCAGGCCAGCCTAGAGTACATTCTGAGTTAAGGCCAGCCTGAACTACATATGAGACCCTGTCTCAGAAAAAAAAAATTGAGATCAGGATAACTGGTTAACCTTGAAGTGATGGCTAGTCAGTGCCTCTCTGTTGGTTGGCACTGGCCTGCCGAGCCTACAGGACTGGGGCTGTCTATGGGGTCAGGTGTTTATTCTGGGAAGTGGCCCTGGCTGCTCCTTTGGCCCTGCTCCAGGGAGAAAGGAGGGCTTCCAGAAGCAAGGACCATGCTGAGCCTGGCATACACCATGCAGCAGCAGCTGCACACAGGGGCCTGGCTGAGGCTTGCGGGTTTTGGGTCTCACCTGACCCCAAGACACTGGTTCTAGGGAGCCTGACATGCTCAGCTTTTAGAAGTCTAGAGACTGGACCCCAGACGCCAAGTCAGGGATTGGGGTTTCCAGGGTTGGAGAGAGTGACATCCCCATCCTGGCTGTGCTGCCCTTAGAAAAGTCTCTGGGCTTCTTCAGGAGGACTTCGTGGACACCCAAACAGTGTAGTCAAAGAGGGCTGGCGAATGGAAGGGCTTGAGTTGGATTAAATTGTCTGCGGGGGGGGGGGGGGCGGCATTTTGCACTACCCAGCCTGTCCTGCCTTAATGTTTTGGTTTTCCCTGGTATGTAGCTTCTCCTCATCCCAGCCACACCCAGCAAGATTCAAGGGCCTTAAGTAAGCCCAATTTCTTTAAGTGTGGTGGAGGACTAGCACCAGCCCCCCTCAGAAAAAGCTGAGGCTGCTGGGCATGGTGGGACACTATATAATCCCAGAACTCGGGAGGCTGAGGCAGGAGGATCCACGAGTTCGAGGCCAGCCTGGGTTACCTATTGAATTCAAGGCCACTCTGAGTTACATACCGAGACCGTGTCTCAAGAAAAAAAGATCTGAGTTCAACTGTGTGATCATGGTTAAGTCACTGAACTGTTCTAAGCCTCTAGGTATATTATTGTACATACTTCAGTCGTATTGTTGGGAAGGTTTATAAGAGATAGTTAATATAAAGCCCACCATGCTTGACACAGAATAAGCGCTCAGGAAATTAGAACTCGATTCAATCGCCTGGGCCAGTCCCCCGTCCCTACGAACCTGCCTGCGAGGGAGAAGCCGTCCCTGCGTGTTCCGCCCCTCCTGCTTTCTGAGGGAGGAGACTCTCCCCACTGGGCAGCGACGAAGGGGTGGAGGAGCGGGCGCGACACATTTTTGAGTCTTTACCAAGTGGAAACTCCCTCCCCAAGGCGGAAGCCGGGGGCGCCCCACTGGGGCCCGAGCCTCAGCTGGGGCGGGATCCCGGGGGCGGGGCACCGCGGAGGAGCCAGCCCCGCCCCCACCAGCCTTATGAATATGAATAAGCCGGTGGGGAGCGGAAGTGCAAGGCTGCTCCCACCAGGCCGCCCCCGCCCCCGCCCCCGTCCCCGTCCCCGCCTTGAGCCTACGGCTGGAGCTAAAGGCCTGGCCTGGACACCCTGCTTCTCCCGCCCCACTCAGGGCCTCCTTCCGGCTGGCGCGCCCGGGACGTGACCTTGCGGGCGGTTCGCTCAGCCGCCGGGCGGGTTTGGCTGCGCTTTGTTCCGCTTACCGGGGACCTCCTGCCCCTGGGGTCCTGGCTTCCCAGCGCGCGCAGTCATCCATTCAGGCTGGCCGGCGCTGGAGTGAAAAGTAGAACGGCCTGTCCTCACGGGGCTTGTGTTCCCGGTGCCAGAAGCCACCTGCGAGACTAATACGTAAAAGTCACGGGCTTTCTGATGAGGGCCAAGGGGAGGACATAAGCAGGGGAGGACATAAGCAGGGGAGGGAGTCGCTGAAGGCGGTGTGAGCCCAGACCTGAAGGAAGTATGGGAACAAGCCATGCGGAGCATTAAGGAAAAAACATTCCAGAAAGAAAGGGCATTCCAGATCATTCCAGGTCGAGACCAGAGAATCAGGACTTTGAGGCCACCCTGGAGTGGGGAAAAAGGGAGACTGAGAATGGCGCAGTGATGATAAGGGCCCACAGTTTTGAGCAGGTATCAAGCAACGTGCAAATATTTTATACTTTTTTTTTTTTTTTAAGGTACCGGGGATTGAACTCCGGTCCTTGTGCAGCAGGCGGCGAAACCACTGAGCTAAATCCCCGGCCCCTGCATATTTTTAATTTTATCCTCAGAACAGCAGAAGGTGGAAACTACCTTATGGGTGGGGGGGTGCTGTAAATAACTCGCCCAAAGTCACACAGGTTAGCAGTGGTAAGACCAGCATTGGAAACATGTCATTGCAGGAAACATACTTAGGAGACCAGGATGGGGTGACCTTGACCAGGACCCGTCCTCCATGCTAGGCTTCCCTTTCCTCCATGCTAGGCTTCCTTTTCCTCCATGCTAGGCTTCCCTTTCCTCCATAAGTGCTGGGGAAGGGGCCAGAGACTGACCTCCAGAAGTGAAGGATGGGCAGGCAAGACTTTTGTTGCTGCTGACCAGCCAGGGTGCTGGATTGCAATAATGAGCACCCTGGGCGGGGGATTTAGCTCAGTGGTTCCAGTGCCTGCCCTGCAAGTGCAAGGTCCTGAGTTCGATCCCTGGTACCAAATAATAATAATAATAATAATGAGCACCCTGCAACTGGCATTCAGAAATCTGAGCAGATCAAGGGCTGGTAGAGCCTTTGTGGATGTCTGTCTCCTGGGGATGCTCTTGTTGTCCAGGCTCTGGAACAGGTACAAGTGGCTTTGGGAGGGACGGTGGTAGAAGGGAGAGATGACAGGGAACCTGTATGGCTGTGCGTTCTGGAGCAGTAACAAAGGCACTGCCAGCCAGGCAGGCTGCATCTGCCACCAGCAACTGGGAGCAGGCAGAATCACCTAGTTGTCCTTGCCAAGCTGAGGCAATTAAGGCACACACACAAAGCACATGGACCCTGTGCCTGCTGCCCCGGAGGTAGACGCTGCCTCTGAGGGTTTGGGCCCTGCCTTGTGTTGACTGTGCCTCTCAGGGGGAGAGGGGGACAAAGTGCATTCTTGCTCCAGTGAAGATTGATCTGGGCCTCTGGCCCTGAGGCAAGGAAGGTCTGAGGTCACTAATGAGGACAGGGAGAGTGTATCTTCTAGAATTTATCCTTTCCTCATCCTAGTAAAGCTCCCTGTCCTGGCCTTTAGGCTGTAGTATGACACATGGTCAGGATGGGAGCAGGACCCAGCCCTTTTTCTGGGGAGCTGGGTTGTTACATGAGGCCCCACCTTAGCTACCTAGTAAATGTGAGCGGCTGGGCATGGTGGCACACACTTGTAATCCTACCATTCAGGAAGCTGAGCCAGGAAGATTGCTGCAAGCTTGAGGCCAGCTTGGGCTACATAGTGAGTTCAAGGCCAGCCTGAATTACATAGCAAGAACCTGTCTCAAAAAACTAAAAACAAAACAAAAAACAGTAAATGTGAGTTACAGTGGGACAGTCATTATCAGGCCCATTCAAGAAAGAGGCTCAGAAAAAAAAAAGAGAAAAGAAAAAGAAAGAGGCTCAGAAAAGTTATGTGGTTCTCCCAAGAGCACACAGTTATAAAAGAGCAGGGATGAAATTCAAGTCCAAAGGGACATCAGGCACAAGCCCAGAGCTTACCTACTTAGAGACCTTTCTCCCAGCCCCTACTGGTCCAGGGATGTAGGGATGACAGATGGAAATGACCAAGGGGATAGTCACTTTCTACTCTTCAGCCACACAGTCCTTGAGGCTTATCTCCAGGCCTCCGTGTCTACATTGTCAGCCAATCCTTTCTTAGGATGGCTCAGGTATAGGGGATGGCTGGCAGTATGAGCCAGCCAGGTGCCTCTTCCTGAGAAGTCTGGAATGGTTTGGTCTTAGAGCTGGGCAGCTTGGATACCTGACTCTACTTGGGTGCCTTGGACCCCTCTGCATACCCTGGCCATGAACTGGAGGTGCTGGCGGTGCAGGTATCCTGAGTGGCCACAGAGAGGTCCTGGGCCATGGGTATGATTCACGAGACTCCTTTGTGGAGAGAATTAGCTCTTGGGAAACAGTCACTGCATTTTTTTTCCTCTCTGCGGTACTGGGATTCTACCCAGGGCTTTTGCGCTGAGCAACACTACACCCCCAGCCATTTAAAAATTTTTGTTTGTTTGTTTTAATTTTGAGACAGAGTCTCACTAAGTCACTAAGTTGCCTCAGGGCTCAAACTTGGTGATCCTCCTGCCTTAGCCTCCCAAAGTGCTGGCATTACAGGTACATGGCATTACCACACCTGAAGCATTGTAGGTATTTGGAGCTGGTTCCTGAGTCCCTCCACAGTCCTTTCCACTAGGGCAACACTTGAGTCTTGGAGCCCAGTAGGTATTCAGATTCACCACGCTATAAAACTGGAGTGTCATCCAGAAATCAGCATTTTTATTTTATTTTATTTATTTTTTGAGGCAGGATCTCGCTATGTAGTTCAGCCTGGCCTTGAATTCACCATGTAGCTCAGGCTGGCCTCAAGCTTGAGGGGATCTTCCTGCCTCTGCCTCCTGAGTGCTGGGATTACAGGTGGCCTACCACACCTGGCTTTTTTCTCTTTTTTTTGAATCAGCATTTTTAGCTCCCCAAGCTATTGCAATGCATGGAGTCCTCTAATCCTTGAAAGCCATTGTCCTGGATCTTCCAGCCAGGCAGCCAAGAGAAACTCTTTCCAGAGCCTTCCAGCAGCCGTTGGAGATGGGAACCTTATGTGTGTAATTGTTTTCCAAGACTGAATTTAAATGCATTCCAATCTCTACGGAGCACTGCCATGGCCCAGCTTCTCCTGTGTTTAGAATAAATGTCCCAAGCCATGGCCCTGACTCCAACCCTCCACTGCCAAGTTTCTCAAAAGGGTAGGCTACCCTGGTCACCTACTCCCTGCCAAGCTGCGTGCTAGCTTTCTTCCTTCTGTCTCTGTCCTAAACTGCCCTTGAAGCAGGACCTCACACTGTGACATCTTCTCAGCCAAGACCCCTCAGCAGCTGGCCTCTTTCACTTCCTAAGTACCCCTGGGGGCCACACGCACCCCCTGCCTTTGGGGCCTGAGACCAGTGCCCCTAAAGTCCACCCTGGGGCCTCTTCTGCTTGACATTCTTCCTCAGTGGAAAGAGCACCCACCCCTCATGTCTAAGAGTCCCTGATATTTATCTGATGGCACTCCACTAACATTTTCAGTCTGGCTTGGTTAGTCCCCGGCACTCTTCCAGATAAGCTCTGATTCCAATCTGGCTCCACCTGTCTCCCTCAGTGGCCCAGCAGTGTGGGTTTTGTGTGGTCATCGCTGAGGCTGTGCACTGATAGAGGAAAGACCACCATCAGTAAGGGATCTATCTGAGGAGCCAGGCTTCACTGCAGGGGACTTTGGACTTGCTTTTGGCATCTCATCTTCCTTCGCCAGAGCCCCTGAGCCCAAGTCCCCCACTGGGTTGGTTTTAGAGCCCCAGGCTCATAGCCTCAAGGTCTTTTCAGATCTGCCACCCTCTGAAAGCCAGGCAGATTTGTTGTTGTTTTGAGATAGGGTCCACTCATGTAGTTCAGGCTGGTCTTGAACTCACTATGTAGCCCAGGCTGGCCTCGAACTTCTGGTGATACTCCTGCCTCAGCCTCCCTAGTGCTTACACGCATGCACCACCTTGCCTGGCTTAGGCAAGTTTAACTTCTGCTTCAGACTTTTTCACAGCAGTTCCTCATTAGGAGTGTCCAAATGCCTGTCATGGCCCATCCACTTTGCTGAGGGCCCCACAGTGAGCTAGGCCAGGCACGGTGCCCAGGGGCACTAGCAGAATGGGCAGGTCCTCTTCTGGGCCGTCCTGCTGTACCTGCCTGGCAGATGTCTCCTCCATCTGTGTTAGTGTCTACACAGCATTAGGCCAAAGAGCCTGTCTGTAGGCAGATGTTTGGTTCTGATCCTGGTTTTGGCCCTCATCAGCCGTAGGACCCAACACATTCCTTGAGCTCTCTGAGTTGGCTTTTGTTTTTTCCTAGTACTGAAGCTTGGACCTAAGGCCTCATGCATATTGGGCAAGTGCTCTTCCACTGAACTGTGAACTGAGTTATGGCTTACTGGTCTACAACATGTAGGTTGCTACCAAAAGTGCTATTTCTTTTATTTATTTATTTATTTATTTATTTATTTATTTATTTGAGACAGGGTCTCACTGTGTAGTTTGGGCTGGCCTTGAAATCACTGTGTAGCCCAGGTTAGCCTCGAACTTGTGTGAGCCTCCTGCCTCAGCCTCCCAGGTGTTAGGATTACAGGTGTGTGCCACCATCCCTGGCTTTTAAATTTTTATTTATTTTATTTTTTTCAAATCTGCTATTTCTTAAGGCTTTTGTAAGAATTGACACTATGTGACCAGGTCTCTAAAAGTCCTTGGCATATAATATTGCTTGATCTGTATTATCACATTCAGTCTTTAAAATCCCCTTATGGGGTAGATCACCACTCTCTGGTCCATTTGGCCAGTGATGAGAAAGGGCTCAGTTAACCTAAGGAGTTCTGCTGGAGCATGCCACTCTGCGGTCACAGGTGAGATTCAAGTCCAAACTGTCTCACTCAGCTGCCCAAGCTCCTAAACATCCTGGCCCCCATCTTGCCATCCTCTCCTGGTTTTCTTTGTCTTGAAGTTCATGCATTCATTCAACAGATATTTATGAATGCCTCCTCCCTGGGGATGTGGTGGTGAATGAACAGGAAGCTCTGCCCTCATACAGCTGATATTTTAGTGGGGTACAGATGTGTAAGAATTTGTCCAAGCCTCCTCTTCCTCTTCCCCTGCCGCTGGAATACAAAGCAGAGAGCTTGAACATCCAGCTTCTCCACTGCTCTTTGTACATGAAGACCTTCAGAAAATAGGATTGGCTAGATCAGACTGGATTTGGATTTGATCCTCCTGAAAGAAGAAACTGACACAGCGTTTGGTGGCACTGAGGTCTAGAGCAGTGGGCGTGCCAGTCAGGTACCCCAACACACAGGGCAGGCTGAGAGCACCTGGAGGAAGCCATCATTCGGTCTTGTGCCTGG